ACTCAGGCTGTAGGTCAGCCTGGTTCAAACTTACACAAAAATACCACCTTACGGGTCATAAGCGCCAGGGGAGTGTTGAGAGCTGCCGGGTAGGCTGGAAATTGAAGGAGTAAACCTCAGAAAGGAGAGAGCCACGCAGAAGGAAAACTACCCTGCAAACAAGTCTCTCCCCAAATCCTTGCCTCCTCCCTAAATTGGCAGAGGCTGAGCAGAGATTCTAGGGAGAATGAAGTTAAATTCACAGCAGTGAGGCTAAAAGCTGCTAGGCAGAGATTTTCAGAAACCGCCGCACCAGAGAAGAGTAAAACCCTGGAAACAACACAAATGTTCAAAAACCTGGAGGTTTGTTAAAACAATTACGATGCAGCTGCATAGGAGAGCTCAATGAAATTATGGAAGTTTTAGACCAACATTTGACGTCCCTGGAAACACATTTCTAATTAAGCAGGCTGGAAACCACGTTATTGCACAGGTACCTAAAGCCACAAAATGCACGCCGCCAAGAGTGAGCCCACGTGTAAACCGTGGACTGGGGGCGATGACACGTCCGAGTAGACTCATCAGTTCTAAGAAATGTCCCGCGGTGGTGGGAACAGTGAGCGTGGGAGAGGCTATGCGAAGGGGTAGGTGCTTAGAGGAAATCACTGAACGGACTAGTCCTCACATTATTGCTATGAACTAAAACTGCTTTCAAGTACCACTTTTTGGAAACTACGCAGCATGGTTCCAATTTGGAGCTTAAAAACGACACGGAGTAACACAGTAAAAAGCTCAGTGTCTCCCCGTCGGGGAATCGAACCCCGGTCTCCCGCGTGACAGGCGGGGATACTCACCACTATACTAACGAGGACTACCGCTACCTTTGCGTCCTAATATCTGCTTAGGAAAAGGTATTCCAAATTGCCAGCTCAACTTGGTGCGCTGCACCTCTGCTGTCCAAACCATTACGTTATAACAGAAACATAAAACGAGGTCACATGCAAACTTTAATAACCACATTGCATGGTAAAAAGAAACAGGCAATAATGATTTTAACAATACATCTATTTAACGCACTTTCTCAAAAATAGCAGTCGTATTCCAACCGTAAGCAATTCCAGTATTATTGATAAGATGTATTTTAACCCTGGTCTTCAAACTCTGGTATGTATTTTACACGTGCCGGCAACACACTTTACTTGACACGTTAAATTTTCGTCGGAAAAACTTTAGACTTCCAAATTTATAATGAAATAATGCAGTGTCTTAGATTCACTCTCCAACTTCAAGGGCTTACTAGTTCATGGCCACCCTAGGAACCTCTCAGAGAAAAGGAGCCCGTTTCTGAGGCTGGGATTTAGACAAGAGATTCCCAGAATCCGGAAAATCGCAGGTTCCCCCAGAGCTGGCAGTTTCAAAAGAGAGGGAGGAGGGGAGGAAACAAGGAACTCTTTAGAACCTAGTTGCACCGCGTAAAAACAGCAGGGCAGAGACAGAAGGGCAGAAGCATATCTGGATGTGAGGAGAGAGGCAGCCCTGCAGTTCAGTTTCCGTCACGCACAAAATACTTGGAGCATGTATGTTTGTATCTGCTGCGCGCTCACCAGAAAGCAATTAGCGAAAAGAATTAAAAAAAAAAAAAAAAACAAAAACACACTTGCGTTGGCCGGGAATCGAACCCGGGTCAACTGCTTGGAAGGCAGCTATGCTCACCACTATACCACCAACGCCGTTAGTTTCGGTTTCCTACAATTCTGTATATAAGAGAAGTGACAGCTGCGCCTCTACGGTCAGTTCCGTCTCTAAAATGCCGAGGGGGAGCCCGCGGACCTTTCGCCCTGTGAGAACCTGTCGACTTCCCTGGTCAGCCCCGCCAGGACGAGGCGTGGGGCTGCGGAGGCGGAGACCGATCGTGCCGCGAGCCGGAGGCTGGGCTCAGCGCGGAGGCGGGAGAGAAAGGCGAACTTAGCTTCCTCAGCCCCTCAGAGCACGGCGCTCGCGGGGGCCGGCTCCGCGTCTCCGCGTCTCCGCACGCCTCAGCACCGCATCCCCTGCGTGAATTTCGGTGACGGCGATTTGTGGCGGAGGGCTTGAGGGAGACCCAGCCCGGCGTGACTGGACCCCTGTTAGAGAAGAGCAACGCTCGAAGGGGCGCCAGGGAGAACGGAGCTTTACGATTTAAAGTGATGAGGAAGTGGGAAACAAGCAAAACTGTCCGAAACAGCTTTATTTTTCCTGCTTTTCGAGGGAATCCAGGGGGCGCGAACAGTAAATAAATACGAAGCCAAACTCTGACAACTTGCTCTGGCAGTCGATGACAAAAGGAAATAAGGGCAGGAACGTTACCACCTGTCAGGATGGCCGAGCGGTCTAAGGCGCTGCGTTCAGGTCGCAGTCTCCCCTGGAGGCGTGGGTTCGAATCCCACTCCTGACAAAGTAATTTCTTTTGGCTGCCTTTCGCGATTCGATGCCTTGGAAAACCGAAAAAGAGAAATCAACAGACTGAATGCCAATGGCAGGGGAGGATATTAATGGGGAAAAATAAACTCTTGAGCTGGTTGTTTCCCAAGAAAAACAATTTTCAGAGATGATGGCAAAAGTGCCACATTCTGATTTGGGAGGAGGCGGATGTGGAAAAAGACTCGTTGACCTCTTAGCAAGAGGGGTGAGGGTGAAGATGGAAGCCTCTTTAGGTTGACTGCAACTTTAGGTTGCAGTTTGCCAACCACAGCTACATTCTCTGTGACCTTCGGAAAGTCATTTGATCCCTCGGAGCCTTACTCTGCTGCCCATAAGATGTAGAATGGATGCAGAATGGATTGAGATATCCCAGGAACTCGTTAGAAATGCACATCTCAGGTCTCCTGAATCTGCATTTCCACATTTCCGCGTGCACAGGACTGTTCGAGAAGCGCTGGATTATCCAGTTTAGGTGCCCGGGGCCAGGAGGACCTTTCACCTGGAGGAACGCCCTCCCCGTTCATCTCACCGTGACCTTTCACTCACTGTCATTCAAGGGTTTTGCGTAATGTGACACTGTTCTTAGGACAGCGTTCACAAAGTTAAGTTAAATATTGTGTCTAAATTACAGAGGATAATGCATCGGTAAGATGGATATGTAAAAAAGTTAGCTGGACCTCAACCAACTGTTCAAGGTTGACACTGCCGGTGATTATCGTGCCAGTATTCTGTATCCCCTGGTGTAACCTGAGCAACACGAGCCCTTCACCGCCTTGGTTTTCTTTGCCACACCTCTGTCTAATCATGAAAAAAGATCAGACAAACCCAAATCAATCAACAATCAACAAAACACCTGACCAGTTCTCTTCCAGAGTCAGGAAAAATGAGAGAAGACAGAAAAGCTGCCATCAACAGCAGGAAAGGAAGGCATACAGTAAGTGAATGCAACGTGATACTTTGCAACAGAAAAAGGACATTGATGGGAAAAAAAAAAAAAACAACATTTGAATAAAGTCCAGGGTTAATAGTTTTGTACCACTGTCTGCTTCTTAGGTTTGATAGGTTTTGTCGAGTGAGAACAAAGAAACAGAACCACGGCGGGGTGGGGGTGGGAGGGAGTGATGGGCCCACATCAGGTTACTTTAGGTTACTTTCGTTTTGGTAAGGACTAAAGCAGATAGACTTCTTGTTATGCTGACTCGGGCGGACTGTAACCTCAAGTTTCAGAAAAACACTGTTGTTCTGGAATCTGCCTGTCCCCTTTAAGTTTCAGTTCAGTTATAGAGCATTCAGCATGAGTGACTCCATTTCAGATTGGTCTGGTCTGTTGGGGCTCATTGCAGGATCTCAGACCAAAACAGTGGCCTTCCATAATTTCAAGAGAAACTATATACATGCTGTGGGTGTCGTTGTTCCCCCTTGGGGAATACAAGCAGGTTGAGGCAGTCAGTGGTGGAAATTGTGGGAAAATCCAGGAAATGGAGAATGTAATACAGGGCATGTGTGGAACGCCATCCTTTTCTGCAGCTTCTTTCAGGATGAAGCCGGCTGGCACAGGACTTGGGCCAGGTGAAGAGAAAAAAGAACCATTAAAACTAGGAAATGACAACTGAGGATGTGAGCTGTCAGTGCAACCTTCCCACTACCGGCAAGAGAGCTCTCTAAGCTAAACATAATATAGCCTTGCTCTAGCCAAGCCCACTTCATTTCTAAGATAAAAATGAATTTTCTCATTTCTCATAGGATAGATGTAGTGTATATGCCAAAAAATGATTTATTTAAGGATTTATTTTATTTATTTGAAAGAGTTACAGAGAAAAGCAGAGACAGAGAGAGAGGTCTTCCATCCACTGGTTCACTCCCCAAATGGCTGCAATGGCCAGAGCTGAGCCAATCCGAAGCCAGGACCCAAGAGCTTCTTCCGGATCTCCCACGTGGATGCAGAGGGCCAAAGGGCTTGGGCCATCTTTTACTGCCTTCCCAAGCACATTAGCGGGGAGCTAGACCAGAAGTGGAAGCTTAAGCTTCTCTCTTTTCTCTTCTCTTCCGACTCCACCCTCCTCCTCCTCTTGCACTGTCCCCACGCTCTCCTCCCTATCAGCCCTCACACTTCAGCACGGTCTCAATGTGTCTGCCTCAACCCCTTCCCTTTTTCCTGTTTTCCCGGAGAGAAATCACACAGCCTTGTGAATTTCCTTCACTTTCCTCTTTCCTCACCATTTTTCTGCTTCCGAAAGCCGAAGCCCCGTCGTGTGCTTAATCAGCTGGAAGGATAAACCAGGGAGTGTTCAGTTTATTTAGATCTGTAACTATATTTCACATAACAAAATCCATACACACAAGTCAGAGACTATGCAAAAAAGGAGAAAATGATGTTAAAGTGCTACCAAAATGTTAATAAAAATTAATCACAAATTCGTTATTGGCTCTGCTGGCTGGGGATACTAAGTAGGAAAAGAGAATTAAAGAGAAAAAAGTCAGATGACAAAGCCTTCAGTTATTAAACATGCTGAGAAGGCAGCTTCCAGCTTTAGGGGGGAAGTCTCCCCCACCTCCCGCAGTTACGGGCAGCGGAAGATGAAGGCTACAGCCAGAGCGGACTTATCCTGAGGGGGCATTCGGTCTACCTCCTCCATAACAGGGCCAGGACTGGGCCGCCCCTGGCACACTGGAGCCCTACAACTGCTGTCCCCAGGGGTGCCAGTCCCCACCCCAGAGCCTAGAGAAGGTGGGGCAACACACTGGCCCCAGCTCCCTCTTCTGATGCTCACGCACCTCCCTCTCTTACGGCTGGCTGGGCTCAGCCAGGCGAGGACTTCCTGACACTTGTCTTTGCACTTGCAGCCGGCCCTCTTCGGGAATCTTGCCCTCTTGGGCTTTCATCTCCAAAGGAGCCCTTTCCTGGAAGACGTAGGCCTCCTGGGAATTTTTGGCGGTCATGCTTGGAGCCTCATCCTCTGCTTTGTACTGCTCAGCCTGACCCACCATCCCCTCCACCTCCTCTTGGCTCAGCTGGCCCCTGTCATTGGTGATGGTACTCTTGTTCGCCTTGCCTGTGCCAGTGGCCAGGACAACTCAGGATGCCGTTGGCATCAAGGTCAAAGGTCACCTCAAACTGGGGGGGGGGGGAGGGGTCCACGTGCGGCAGGAGAGATGCCAGGAGCTCAGGGCGCCCCCAGCAGGTTGCTGTCGCTGGTCATGGCTCTCTCACCCTCACACACCCGGATCAGGAGCCCAAGGCTGGTTGCAGGGTAGGTGGTGAAGGCCTGGGTTTGCTTGGTGGGGATGGTGGATCAGCATGGTCATCACCCCACCTGCTGTCTCCAACCCCAAGGGCAGGGGGGCCACATTCAGCAGCAGCCCTGTAGGCCAGGGCCTCACTGGGGTTGGCGCTCTTGTTCAGGCCCTGACAGTTGAAGAATTCCTGAAGCAGCTTGGGGATGCGGGTGGAACCACCCACCAGGATGGGGTCTTGGATCTGGGCCTTGTCCGGCCTGGCTTCCCACAGGGCCTGCTCCACGGGCTCCAGGGTGCTGCGGAAGAGGTCCGACAGTTCTCTAAGCGGGCCTGACTGATGGACGCATGCAAGCCCACGCCCTCCAACAGCGAGTAGCTCTCCCGGGCGGCCTGGGCGGTGGAGGGCAGGGTGCGCTTGGTACACTTGCTGGCGCTCACATCCTCCCGTGCTTTCTGCGGAAACTCTGCCTCTAAGTGGGTCACCACCCAGGTGCGTGTCTCCGGCCCTGGCCTTCCGCTCAAAGACACCAGAGTGGGTAGTGAGGACCGGCACGTCGAAAGCGCCCCCAGCCAGGTCAAAAGCGAGAAGGCTGCGCTCCGAAGGTTGCGCTCCGCAGCGCTTTGCTGGTGCAGCCCCTAGGCGATGGCGGCCGCAGTGGGCCCGTGGATGATCCTTAGTACGCTGAGGCCTGCGATGGCACCCGCGTCCTCGGTGGCCTGGCGCTGCGCGGCGTCGAGGTAGGCGGGCTCCATGATCGCAGCGTGCCTCAGGGGCTGGCCCAGGTACTCCTCGGCCGTCTCCCTCATCCCGCCTAGCACCATGGCCAAGATCTCCTCGGGGTGCACGGTCTTGTCCTCCCTGCGGTGGGAAACTAGCACCTTGAGCTGGCCGCCCTTGCTCACCACCTGAAAGGGCCAGTGATTTAGGTCCAACCGCCCGGTCACGTCCGTGCACCTGCGGCCTATCGGAGCCGCTCGGCGTCGAACGCCATGTTGTGTTGTGCGTTCAGGGCCGCCTGGACCCGGGCGATGGAGGCCCCGCAGCTGGGCGTGGTGCGGTTGCGAGGGTCGTTGGAGAGGTTCTCCACCCGCCCGCGCCCAGGTCGTGGCGCCCAGGTCCATGGCCACCGCCGTTTGCCCGCGGGCGGACATGGTCCTGGCTTCCCGGGCTCCAGAGGGCGAGCGGGACTCCAGGCCACGGGAGTCGGGGTTGCTCGGCCGCACGGGCGCGCTCGGCGGGGCTGGGCTCCTGCGCTCCTCTCACGCGCCGCGTCCACCGGCTTTCCATCCGGCTCTGGGCACCTGCCGCCGCGACCCTTCCCGCGCTCTCTCGGCGGGCCGGGAGCCCTCAGGCCTGACTGACTCCGAGCCCGGCGCCGCCAGCGGACGCGGCCCATCGAGGCGGGGCGCCGGGCGGCAGGGCCGGCCTGGCCGCCTCTGACTCGGAGGTGCCGCTAAGAACCGCGGAGAAAGTTCGAGCTTCTCGCGCCTGCTTCCGAAGCCAGTTCCGGCGCTAGATTCCCGACCACGCGTTCCTCCTGGGTGGTCGGAGACCGACCCCCGCTGGCGGGCTGCCTCAGAGCGCCGGTCGGAGGCCCGCGGCTCGGGATAAGCCCAACGCGTGTTACCCTGCAAATGGCGACATAGCCTCAGAGCCAGGCGTTAACAGTTGGTTGTTTGCTTAAGTCTTAAAATTTTTATCTTAGTACATGAAGGTAGTGTTTCCAAAAACACTTCGTGGAATGGAACCAGAGACAGAACTTAGGTTAAGAAGGGTCTTTACACACTCTCTCCCGCCTCGGGCATTGGTGGTTCAGTGGTAGAATTCTCGCCTGCCACGCGGGAGGCCCGGGTTCGATTCCCGGCCAATGCACGGTATATTTTTCTTTTCATTTTATTTTTCTTGAGGTTCCCTAAGTTTTGAATTTTAATATGTACAAGCAAAGTCAGCCGAAGACATTGGAGAGTGAACTGCTGTAGTCCCCTGTCCATGCTATGACCTGAAGGGCAGAGAACAAAGTATATTCAGTGGACAGCTTTGCGAACTGAACTGACTTCTTTAATACAGAACATTTTATTAGAGTATTCCTAGTGTTTGAATCTGTACTAAAAGTCAAAACAGACATTGTACGAACATGAATGGAAAGATTCTGAGTAGTAAAACAATCACAACCTCCCCGTCGGGGAATCGAACCCCGGTCTCCCGCGTGACAGGCGGGGATACTCACCACTATACTAACGAGGACAGCGCTGGTAAGCTGTCTCAGCCAAAGAACATGTAGGATATTGTGTTATTGCCCTGCCTCACCCTCCCCCCCCCCCCCCACCGGCGTGTTCGCAGATTTTGAAGCTGATTTTCATTTAATAGATTGTTATTTGCTTGACTCAAAATAATTTTCTAATTTTTCAAAAGAGATACTAAAACCTTCTGCTCAGTAAGTGGCTGTTTTCTCCTGTACGGGTTGGAACCCACTGGGAGGCTTTCGGGCGCTTTGTAACAGGGAGGCGCCCCTGAGCCCGATCCCTTGGTCTGCCCTCTCCCGGTGAGCTGGCGAGGAAGAGCCCGCAGTTTGCTGCTTCAGAGGTCAGTTGTATAGGGAATGTTTGAAGATGTGTGCAATGAATTGCTTCCACAGCGGAAAAATCAGACTGCCCTCAACGAGAATCTGTTTCCTAACTGGTGGGAGAGAAGCTGTCGATTTTCGATCCAGGCACTCTTAGAAAAGTCTTGGCCTGCCAGGGGTGGGTGCCAGAGTCGAAGTATGTTAGCCAGGGGCCTGGCAGAATCTTCACCTGGGAAGGGAAAAGATGGCTGTGCGCTGGGGTCTGTGCCTGCCTGTTCAGGGACAGACCCTGAACAGGGACAGACCCTGACAGACCCTGCAAGCCTCAAAACTCCTACCCATCAGTGCACAGCCCCAGACCAGGCTGCATATGCGACTGCTTGCGTGGCATCATACAGACGTTCAAGCATAGGAGAGTTTATGAGGTACAACTTTTATACACATACTTAATCATATCCATTTATGCGTAGTAGCTTAGTTTGCTATCTTCAGAAGTGAAATAACGGGGCCTGCAGTGTCGGCATCCCATATGGGCACCGGTTCGAGTCCTGGCTGCTCCACTTCTGATCCAGCTCTCTGTTGTGGCCTGGGAAAGCAGTAGAAGATGGCCCAAGTCCTTGGACCCCTGCACCCACGTAGGAGATCTGGAAGAAGCTCCTGGCTCCTGGCTTTGGGTTGGCCCAGCTCTGGCTGATGCAGTCATTTAGGGAGTGAACCAGTGGATTTGAAAGACCTTTCTCTCTGTCTCTCCCTCTCACTGTAACTATACCTCTCAAATAAATAAATAAAAATCTTAAAAAAAAAAAAAAAAAGCAGTGGAATAACTGTTGAAGTCATGACTTCAATACATATTGTGAAGTGGAGGGATGAAGTGCTAATGACAAGTACAGGAAAACCAAGCTGTAGACCACTCTGCCTGTCAAAAAATAAGAAATAAAATAAAATAAAATAAAATAAAATAAAATAAAATAAAAGGTCGGCGCCGCGGCTCACTAGGCTAATCCTCTGCCTTGCAGCGCTGGCACACCGGGTTCTAGTCCCGGTCAGGGCGCCGGATTCTGTCCCGGTTGCCCCTCTTCCAGGCCAGCTGTCTGCTGTGGCCAGGGAGTGCAGTGGAGGATGGCCCAAGTGCTTGGGCCCTGCACCCCATGGGAGACCAGGAAAAGCACCTGGCTCCTGCCATCGGATCAGCGCGATGCACCGACCGCAGCGGCCATTGGACGGTGAACCAATGGTAAAGGAAGACCTTTGTCTCTGTCTCTCTCTCACTGTCCACTCTGCCTGTCAAAAAAAAAAAAAAAAAAAGCTGTAGAACAAAATTTACAGGGTAATCCAAACTGTATAGTGAGGATACTTCAAAACATTCATGGACAAATAGAACTAAAAGGCAAAATTTATTTTGATAGAAATTTTCATAATACGCATACTCATGAACTTTGTTGAAAGACCCCTCACGTAAAGATCTGTGACACCCTACTGTATGTTCTTGAGTAGGCCATTTCACCTATCTGGGCTACAGCTGCCTCAAATTTAAAATGAGAAGATTGGATTCTGTTGTTGCTAAGCTCCCCTGGAGCTCAAGTTCTGTTGGGGAGTGGGAGAAGAATTCAGCCAACAGACAAATAAATAAGCATACAGTACATCACATCATGGCAAAAACAAGGGTGAAAAATAAAGCCGGAGAGGGGACTGGTAGTACGGAGAAGTCCCAAAAAGACAAATATCACATGTTTTCCCTGATAGGTAGTAGTTTACATAGAATACAAAAACAATGTATAAGAATGCAATTGACATCTTCCGATTTGATTATTGTCTTTAGCCATTGTCTATACCCCTGTGGAACAGTCATCCTTCTGCTTTTTATTCGTTGAATATTATGGCTAGTGGTGCATCAAGCTTGTGGTTATAAAGCAAACTGAAGTTACGTTGTTGCAAAAATTAAAGGAAAAAGATTGGAAGGAAAGGAGGGACTGGGGGAGGGAGGGAAGCATGGTTATCGTCTCACAACTGTATCTGTGAAATACATGAAATATGTTCTCTTTATATTTATAAAATTTTTTAGAAAGGAATATGGTAGAATAAGATTGGATTAAATCATCAAGACGACCTCACTGATAATGTGACATTTGGAGTAAAGTCCTAAGGAGCATTGTCTTAGTCCACTGGCTATTGCTATAACAGAACACCTGCAAGGGGGCAGTTTGTTAAGGAAAGAGCTTTATTTACATCACAGTTCTGGAGGCTGGGGACCCAGGAACCGGCAGCTGCATCTGCTCAGCTTCTGGTGAGAGCCTCATGCTGCTCCACGCATGGCAGGAAAGCAACACAGAAAGGGGACCGTGCTCGTGCAGCAACCAACCCACTCCCACAAGAAAAGCCCGAATCCACTCACAAGGGCTCTGTCCCCATGACCCAACAGCTCCCACCAGGCCCCACCTCCCAACATTATCACTGCACTGCCGACTAGGTCTCCACATGAGTTTTGGTGGCAACAAACCCCACATTCAAACCACAACATTCCAACCTGATAAAGCATGATGTGGGTATTCTTAAGAAAAAAAAAAAAAAAAAAACTCAGACACAGGAAGTAACATAGGCTCTAGGCAGAAGCGTAATTGGCATATTCAAGGAGGAGCCAAAATGAGCAAGACTAACCGTGGGTGAGCAGCAGGGGCTGAGCCCAGTCGGGAAGCCACTGCAGTGGTCTGAGTGACAGCTAACATGCCTCGGCCCAGTGTCGTAGGAGTCAGATTGCTGGGTGTATGTTGATGGAGAAGCAAGATCTACTGAGGAGCTTCAGTCCAGGGGCTGCAGCCCAAATGGTGGAGGGAGTCTCCTTGGAACCAGGTGACTCTGAAGGAAAGGCATTGGGGGAAGGAAAGCTGTGGCCTGGGAGATGCTGCCTCTGCTGTCGTCGCGTGGAGCGAGGACTCGTGTGTCCTGAAGGCCCTGTCTCCATCAGACTTTGCGATTCCTCCTGTCCCTCACTGAGCTCTGAAGATCTCCCCGCACAGAGAAATACAGCCCTGTGTTGACTGCAAGCAGGAGTCCCATCACCAAGCAGAAAGTGATTTGGTGCCAAGGTGGAGAGATGGGTAGAACTGCCGGACCTAGTGGGAAAGGCAGAGGGAGCGGGGAATGCAGAAAGTTGCAATAAACCCTGAGCTCCCAAGTGGGGAGCCGACTCTGTAAAAGCCACTCGAGCCAGGGGCTGGGGCAAGGCAGACAGGTAGATCAGGAAGTCTTCAAAGGATCTCTCAGACTTCCCAGACCAAGCGCGAGACAAAGTGATTCCTAAACGGTGACCTTGCACTCATCCGTTCTGAAGTTAATGTTTGTGTGGGCATCTAGGTTTGGCAAATGCTATAGGAAACAGTGTAAACACATGTTTCTGTTTTTCATTTTTTTTTTACAACAGTGCTTCTCGAAGCCTTTACTCTGTAATCTGAGCACTAAAGGAGAAAAACACACAGCCCATTCTGTATTCGTCTGAAAAGAGAACCCTTCATTGGGAAAAGCCCCTCACGGAGTTGGGAGAGTGGGGAGCCATCGCCAGGCCACCTGGAACCAGGGATCCACACCAGGGCAGCACATCTTCACTCGTCTCCTCTGAGCCCGGGCTGCATTGTATTCACTGAATGTGTCCATCAGAGCTGGTTTGCGATGCCTTCTGAAAAGGCATGAAGAGGACCCCACACTACACAATTTCTCAAGAACGCACAGAGGCCGGGAGCAGGAAAGAGATGCCCAAGCCGACCTGTTTGCCCTCAGCCTGGACTGAGATGGCCAGGAAGCAGGCACAGGCCTCAACACCTGAGAGACAGCGGGATGTGCAACCAAGCGGAGTGGTAGACAGGGGGAAGGGGGACGATGGATGTCTCTGCTAGATTTTTCTGTGGGGAGGCAAACATGGCTTCTGTCCCTGAGAGTTGAAGCCCCAAGTGAACGACACCCGCTTCTATAACCCAGACGCTAAGCTGGAACAGAGCTGCACGTCCACACTGGGATCAGCTCAGCCAGAATGTTCGGGGATCCCTCAAAGGTCAAAGAGGCCCACTCAGCGGGGTAGAGGGGCTAAAGCCCAAATGGGTAACCTCCTCCCTCCCCCACAGCTTTCCAAGGCCCAAAGCTCCTTGATCCTCACCTTGGACAGTGATGGTCACAGGCTCTGATGAGTAGGTCACCTTTCCTATGTTTCCTTTGCAGTAGTAATCACCGCTATGGCTGCGGTTTGCTTGAGCGATGGAGAAGTCGGTGTTGTAATTGAAAAACTTCTTGGATATTCCATTCTGGTAGAATGTGACCTTGTTCACAGTCTTGTTCCTCCAGCCATGGCACCTCAGCATGATGGGTTCCCCCTCCTGGAACACCAACTGAGGCGTCTGGAGTACCAGCCACTCTGAAAGACACAAACAGGCAAAGAAAAAATGCTAGGACAGCACAGCCTTTGTAGCCTCATGCTCCGGGCTGCATGACTCACAGAACTTGTTGGGCTGTTGTACAGGGAGAATGGAAGATGTGTCATGCAGACGTGCCCATTCTCTTACAGGCAAAATATGCTGTTATGTCTATGGGACCCCTAGATAGAAGGTTCCAGAAGTTCTAAAAATGCAGAGGAGATATTAACAATGTTGAAGAATTTACAGCACAATACTTGATTAGGAGAATCAGTGCATTTCAGTAACTGGGGATATAGTATTTGTGGTCTGGGGATTACTAATAAGAGTAACTTATGGGGGTTGGTGCTGTGGCACAAGCAGGTTAATGCCCTGGCCTGAAGCGCTGGCATCCCATATGGGTGCTGGTTTAAGACTCAGATGCTCTGCTTCCAGTCCAGCTCTCTGCTATGGCCTGGGAAAGCAGTGGAAGATGGCCCAAGGCCTTGAGCCCCTGCACACGTGTGGGAGACCCAGAGGAAGCTCCTGGCTCCTGGCTTCAGATTGGCACAGCTCCGGCCATTGTAGCCAGTTGGGAAATGAACCATCAGATGGAAGACCTCTCTCTCTCTCTCTCTCTCTCTCTCTCTTTCTCTCTCACTCTTTCTGTGTGTGTGTGTGTGTGTGTAACTATGACTTTCAAATAAATAAATAAATCTTTAAAAAAAAAACAGTAACTTATGAACAAGTTTCGGGAAGCCAAGGTAGGTTGCCAGTAAGTATATTAGCAATGAAGTAGAACCTTAATGCTGCCAGCCAATGTGTCCTTTTGGGCTGCTATAGCAAAGCATGATAAAATGTCACTACAGAACTGTGCAATCTAAGATCAAGTCACCAGCAGCTTCTGCATCTGGTGAGGGCCCACACCCTGGTTCTTGCTGTGCCCTCACAAGGTGGAAGAGGACAACAAGCTCCCCTGGGTTTCTCTCTGTGTGCGTCTCTCTTAGATTTGTTTATTCATTTTGAAAATCAGAGAGAGAGAGACAGACAGACAGACAGATCATCCATCTGCTGGTTCACTCCCCAGATGGCTGCAGTCTCCAGGGCTGGGCCAGGCTGAAGCCAGGAGCCAGAAGCTTCATCCAGATCCCCCACATGGGCAGTAAGGGTCCAAACTCTTGGGATATCTTCCGTAGCTTTTCCCAGGCCATTAGCAGGGAGCTGAATTGGAAGTGGAGCAGTCAAGACACAAACCGGTGCCCATATGGTGGTGGTTTTTACCCACTGTGCCACAATGCTGGCCCACCCTTGGCCTCTCCTATAAGGGCATTCATCCCATTCACAGGGACTCCACCCTCATGACTCAAACACCCCCAAACGTCCACCTGCTCACACCATTACCTTGGGGGTCAGGATATCAACATATGAACTCTGGGAGTACATAAACATTCCCGCCCCAGCATACCCTGCGTGCAGTCTTTCATCTACGTAAGACATGAAATGTATGACTGAATTCAGCATTCCATTGTGCCTGACAGGCTGTAAAGAAAGCTTTTAAACTTAAAATCACATTTCCTTTGTGACCTACAAACACCGTCACTCCCACCACCTGCCCCCCTCCGTGAGGGCAGAGCACTCAGATTCCATGATCCAGCTGCCCTGAAAGACAACGCTTCAGTCAACTTACTCCAGAAGGAAACCCAACTGATCTGTGCTGGAAATCAACGCCATAATTGACGATGTCATATTTAAACGAAAATTCACTTGAGGCAGTATTCTGTATAGGAATAATGTCTCTGAGACAGCATGAAACAGAAATCTAAAGTTAGGGTTCTGATTCTGACTCCGTTATTCACCACTGAGCTCTTGGGTTTCACCATCTTAATTGATGAGACTAGATGGTTCCTCATCCTTTGGATGAGGTTTTTTGTTACCTATGTTTTTAGATTTTCACAGGAAAATTCAGAGGTGCCATTGACTGTTTCTAGAGAGGCACTAGAGAGAGGAAGTGTCGCCGCGACGTTGTCATGGGGGGGGGGGTGAGATTGACCCAGAATTAATCCCATCTCCTTAGAGCACCATCAACAGAAAGTGACCCTGTCGTCAGAAACTCTGCAGTAGAGCAACGTCGGGGGATGGCAGAAAAAGTTCACTCTTGGTGTTAAACAGGAGACTCTAAAACACTGGATGCTTATGTAATCTTCAGGGTCTATGCACATAGTGCAACTGAAGCACACTACAGTATAAAGGTACTTACAATTTTAGACACTCAGAGGCATGAAACATAGTATCTAAGGGCATTTTCTCTACAGAAGCTACTGCGCTGAATACCATCAGATGGTTACATGGCCCTAAAGCAGATCGCAAGCCTCCCTTAATTCAAACCATCTCATGAATTCTCTTCTGGGTCAAGGCCATTGTAACAGTCTGCGGGAGCTCTACAGGAGCTGTCCTACCGGCGCCCCTCACCTCTGCCCTCACCTTCCACACTGACTGTCTCCTGCCTGCTGCTCTCCAGGCAGAAGGACCTCCTCATCTTTGCCAAGCAAGTTCCTGGCTCGGGAACCTGGCCGGTGTGTGTGCCTCCAACTGCTCTGCTTTTACCCACCGCCATCAGAGTACAGCAGATTTGCCGAGTCAATATTTCCTTCTGCTTCTCTTATACCCCGCTGCTGGCTTCTTGCTCAATCAGGACTGAAGCAAAAGCAACCTAACAAATGCTGATAAGGTTGCTAGTTCCCATCCTCCACATGTATACCCAGCACAGGGCCGCGTGGAGCGGGAAATGAGCGGCCAAAATGGCTCCAAGCGGCTCACAGTGCGGCTTCCCGGGAAGCAGGCACCCCCACCTCCACCCCCACCCTGCAGGCCCCCGTCTCTGCTGCCCCGCCCACCCCTCCCAGCCTTCCTCCACTGACCCGAAAACACGTGCAGCTGCACGGGGTTGCTGAGCCTGCTGGGGCCTGTCTGGCACCTGTACTCCCCGCTGTCGTTCTTCTTGGCCTTAAACGTGTAGCTGGGCTGCACCTGGCTGGGGATGGCGATGCCGTTGTGGAGCCACTGGGTGGAGTGGTTCCCGGGGCCGTGGGCCCCCTGACACGTCAGGGTCACCGAGTCGTCCTGGAGCACCCGGATCCACGGCGGCTGGAGCTTCAGCACGGCCTGCGGGACCTCGGCTGGGGGGCGGGGGAGCAGGAAGAGATATGAGGGACCCTGGACTTCAGAGGAGCTCCCAGGGGAAGGTGGGGACCTGAGAGCCCTAGCACAGACTCCTTCAAAGATCTGTGTGCTTGCAAGCAGCCTCATTCCCTTAGGTATTTGATGTGTCCAGTGGGAATCGCACCAAGAATCAAATCCCAGGCGTATGTGGGACCCAAACTTGATGCTTGGTGGAACAGACTTGTGGCTTCGCATTGTGGGGGAGGCAAGAAAGCCAGGCGCAGACTCACCAGCTGTCCTGTCCGCAGAAGCTGTAAAAGGAGAGACTGAATGAATGAAGAGCAGAGGAAAAGAGCAAATGGAGTTCTGCACGTGGTGGTGGTGGTGGGTCTATGTGATATCTTGGACTTCTTTCCCCAGGAGCTGTCTCAACAACTTGCCCCCAGTTGGTCTCTTTTAAGGTCTTTTTTAACTCTTCCCCATCCCTTTGCATGGCTATAAATGTTTGGGACAGAATGGACTTCCCAAGGGGTGTGACAGCAGCCCTGACCTTAGCAACCCCTGAAACAGAACACAGGGTCCCCCTCTCTCCTTGCAGTCTGTTCCAAGCTTCCAGGGCCCAGAAGGACCTCCCACTCACCCAACAGCAGCAGAATTGTCAGTGGCTGAAGAAGCCATGGGCTGCCGCGATCCACATTCTGAAACATGTGGTTCTTCAGGGTCATCGTGGAACTGAATCCGCCTCCAGTGGGGTTCAGGAGAAAACCTTAGAAAAGAGGAAGGAAATGACCTCATCTTGTGTAGCCATCACTTATCACCAGACTGTATGTCTGCTAAACACTCAGTAACAAACCAAAGAAGGTGAGTCTGTTGTCAGATAAAGCTCTCTATCCTGTAGCCCCTGTTACGCCCTGTGAAAGCCCTGGAGAGAGGTCGTGGCTGTGCCAGTGAAGACCCTCCTAGAGGAACACCCAGGAACAGACGGACGTCTCAGGTCAACACTATTCCCACCACACTCCCTGTCCTGTCTTGCTGGCCTTACACAGAAAATTCCAAATGAGTTTCAACCCAGGCAAGACACAGAGCCCTTAAGTCTGCAACCAACAGGCACCAACACTAAACAACAAAACGGGGTAGCTATCTGCAGAAGACATTTGATCCCAGAGGATCTCTAAATATACCACAGGCCTCTTCCCCTTTAACCCCTACCTCTGCCCCTTTAACCCCTACCCTGCCTCTGTGCCTTTAACCCCTACCCTGCACAGAGACAAGGTTTTCAAGCATAAGAAAGAATTTTGTCAAGAAAACCACAGAGCAATTTCAAATGCTATCATACAAAGGAAAACACTGCTTCTCTATACACTTACGTTCTCAACACTTCCTACACCAAATGTGAGGCTTTTTCCAAGCCCAACAATCCTGCAACACCAGCCAGACGCCGTGCAGTTCAATTCCATTCTAACGCTATCTACCTGGAGGCAGAGTCAGATGGCACGGGTGAAGGGCTCAGCCCCACAGGAAACACTTAGGCTTACCCAGTTATTATAGAATAAAGGACACAGACAATGAGGTCTGGAAGGATCCCACATGCAAGAGTTTTTGTCGCTGGGAAGTCGGGGTGCACCCACCACCGGGCATATAGATGCGTTCATAAACTGGAAGCTCTCTGGAACCTCTCTTTTAGGGATTTTTAAAAAAGATTAATTTATTTGAAAGGCAGAGTTACAGAGAGGTAGAGAGAGATCTTCCATCTGCTGATTCACTCCCCAGACGGCCACAACAGCTGGAGCTAGGCCCATCCAAAGCCAGGAGCCAGGAGTTTCCTCCAGGTCTCCCCACACTGAGGACTTGGACCATCCTCTGCTGCTTTCCCAGGTGCATTAGCAGGGAGCTGGATGGGAAGTAGAGTAGCCCATATGGGATGCTAGCACTGCAGGCAGCAGCTTTACCTGCTACGCTACAGCACTGCCCCCTTCTGGAGATTTTTATGGAGACTTCAACATGTGTATAAGCAGTTATTAACTCTTCCCTGGGGGATGGAGGTAGGACTGAAAGTTCTACTTCTCTAACATGGCTTAATTTGTCTGGCAACCAGCCCCTATTTGGAAGCTAGCCAAGAGCCCACCTAAATTAGAACAAAGGCCCTCCTATCCATCAGCAAATCACAAGAGTTTTCAGAGCTCTGTACCAAGAGCTGAGGGCAAAGACAAATACACTGTAAATTTCACATTATTTCACAGCTATATTTTGTACAGATGATTGGGTGGGATAGTTGGGTTGGACAACATGGTGGAAGGGGCTCCATGGTTAAAAGTCAGACTATGGATACCATAAGAAGAAAAATAAACAAGTAGAGCCTGGCATCGTGGCATAGCTGGTAAAGCCACTGCCTGCAATGCCAGCACCCCATGTGGGCGCTGGTTCATGTCCTGGCTGTTCAACTTCTGGTCCAGCTCCCTGCTAATGTGGAAAGCAGCAGAATAGGGCCCACGTATGTGAGAGACCTGGATGGAGTTCCTGACTCCTCGTTATGACCCGGCTCAGCCCTGGTTGTTGCAGTCTTTGGGGAGCGATGGAATGTATGGAAGATCTCTCCCTCTTTCTCTCTCTCTCTGTAACTTGATTTTAACTAAACAAATATTTATTTTAAAAAAAATAGACAAGTGGAATGATATTAACCTTAAAACTTGCTATGAATCAAAGGACAAAAATCATCAGGGCAACCTATAGATGGAAGAAAGTATTTGAAAATCATATATGAGGAAAAGTATATCCAGAATATATATAAAGAACTACAAAAAGGTAGTTACAATACCTGACAACTTATAACCTGATTTTAAAAGGGCAGAGGGGCTGGTGCTGTGGTGTAGTGGGATGCTGGTTTGAGTCCCGGCTGCTCCACTTCCAGTCCAGCTCTCTGCTATGGCCTGGGAAAGCAGCAGAAGGTGGCCCAAGTGCTTGAACCCCTGCACCCGTGTGGCAGACCCGGAGGAAGTTCCTGGCTCCTGGCTTTGGATCGGCCCAGCTCTGGTTGTTGCAGCCATTTGGGGAGTGAACCAGCATATGGAAGACCTCTCTCTCTCTCTCTCTCTCTCTCTCTGTGGCTCTTACCTTTCAAATAAATAAATAAATTCAGATGCGAGACAGAGAGTAGCAAAGTTTAATGAAGAGAAATACATCTGATAGGCCAGGTGGGTGTCTCAGGAAAGAGCTGAGCTCTGTATTCAGACTGGACTTTTTATGGATACAATTATGGGGCTCCCATTTCTCCTCCCCTTGCCTCTTCTGGGAGGCAGCTGGGTGGAGGGCTTTCTGGGCATGGAATTCCTGAAATCCCTTTTGGGAATTCATCAGCACCAAGTTAGTGGACCTAAGAGTGCCCCCTGGTGCCAGGAAGGGAAGAGTTCCCAAAGCTGTCCCTGAAGGGCTTGGGCTCCACCTACCAACCTTATGGAGCGAGGGCAAGACATCTGATGTATAACTGGCCTGCTTTCAAGGCTTGCTTCTGCATTTTTCCTCACTCACTCCACTACACAGAAATTCCTATTTTCTTCCCCAAGAATCCCCCATTTTCTTAGGTCCTTCTTCCACACATGGGGGCTCATGTTTACTTAGCTACCTAACATAATCATTAGAGAAATGGAAATCAAAACCACAATGAGCTATCAGCTCACACCCATTAGGAGGGCTGCTATTAAAAAATACAGCAACAATACAGAAAATAGCAAGTGCTGGCAAGGACATGGAAACATCAGAACCCCTGGGCACCGGTGGTAGAAATGTAAAATGAAGCCATTGTTATGGAAAACAGCATGGAGGGCCCTCAAATAATCCAAATAGAATGATCTGATCATGGGCTATGGTTACAGCAAGCCTTGGCTCCTGGCCTCATGCAGACATTTAATCACCAAAGCCAGAAGTTAATGCTACTGAGAAGATGAGAACCTCAATCAATTACAGTGTTCGGGTCACTAGGGGGCATGCTCTTTGAAGGTGGATGTTGAGAGGGAGTTGGTTATAGGAGCTTGGGTCAGGCCCAGCCATTCTCTCTCTCTGTATCCTGGCTTGCCATACGATCATTCCTCCTCCATTGCCATCCTCCAACCTCACCAGACAACCAAACCAAGCTGTAAACCTCCAAAACTGTGAGCCAAAACAAACCTCGTCCCTTCACAACTGGCTTGTTGTAGGTATTTCATTGTAATAACCAAAAAGCTGGCCAATACACCATATGATCCTGCAATCTCATTTCTGGGTACATATATATCCCAAAGAAAGAATCTCAAAGACATATTTGCATACCACGTGTATTAACAGAATTATTAGACCAGCCAAGAGATAGAACAAACCCAAATGTCCATCTACAAGTGGAGCAATGAAGAAAATGTGGCATATACATGCAATCGGATATTAGTCAGCCTTAAATAAGGAGGGCAGGCATTTGGTCTAGCAGTTAAGAAGTCTTGGAATGCTAGATTCAATACCCGGCTCCACTCCTGACTCCAGCTTCCTGCTAATACAGACCTGGGAGGGAGCAGTGAGGGCGTAAGGGGTTGGGTTCCTGCCACCTGTGTGGAAGATCTGGACTGACTTCCTGGCCCCTGGCTTCAGCCACGGTTGGGGACCACCGCAGGCATTTAGGGAGTGAACAAGTGAATGGGAGCTCGCTCTCTCTCTCTCTCTCTCTTCCTGTCTCTCTGTGTCTCTCTGCCTATCAAGTAAATAAATTGAAAGAGAAGGAAATCCTGCCATATGCTACAACATGGACGATCCTCACAGACATTGTGCTAAGTAAACTAAGCCAGTCACAGACAGATATTTGCTGTATGATTTCAAGAGTCAAACTCATAGAAACAGAAAATAAAATGGTGATTGTCACGAGAGGGAGAGGGAAGTAGGGGTTCTTCAGCGGTTATAGAGTTTCTGTTTTAGCAATGAAGAAGGGATAGAGATCTGTTGCACAATAATGTGAATGTGCTTAACACTACTGAACTGTACACTTAAAAACAGTTAAGATTATAAAATTATACATTAGGGGCCAGTGCTGTGGCACAGCGGGTTAACGCCCTGGCCTGAAGCGCTGGCATCCCATATGGTTGCCGGTTCTAGTCCTGGCTGCTCCTCTTCCAGTCCAGCTCTCTGTTATGGCCTGGGAAAGCAGTAGAAGATGGCCCAAGTCCTTGGGCCCCTGCACCCACAAGGGAGACACAAAAGAAGCTCCTGACTCTTGGCTTTGGATTGGCACAGCTCTGGCCATTGTGGCCATCTGGGGAGTGAACCAGTGGATGGAAGACCTTTCTCTCTGTCTCTACCTCTCTCTGTAACTTTGTCTTTCAAATAAATAAAATAAATCTTTAAAAAAAATTATACATTACGCATTTTCTCCCACAAGTACAAATATTTTTCAGAGAAAAATGAGGAGATTTTAGAACCATCCATAACCTTTCAAAGCTTCAACAGAGAGCACTTTTTATTTATGTGAGTGTTACCAAGCATAGCTAACCTTTGATTTTTCTGGAAGAATTGATTCTTTATAATTCCTGGTCAAAACCTCAGTACAAGGCACTGGAGTTGTTTATTCTCTGTGGGAGCCAAAGAGAAAGGGTCCACCTACAGCCAGCAATGCAGCAGCCCTGGGGGTATGGGGGCCAGAGCCCGAAGGGCAGAAATTCAAAGTAGAGGATTGTTTTGTTTCTCACAATATTTTCCCCATGGGAATTATAAGTGGTTCTCCCACTCTGGGTTTTTTCATTATAGGAATTGTAA